CTTCGAAGTTAAACTTCGCAGTGTTCTTCAAAAAGCATAACAGTCGCAACGACAACAGAATCGTTCCGAATCGAATCTGTACGTATAGTTCCAAGTGTTTCTCCTTCTCTCGCGAACGAGCGTGAAGCGCGCGCTAGAGATTGGTGACAACCCGCTATTTTGTCGGGCCCGGTAAGTACCGGGAAAATTTCCGGGTGCTTCGAGAAACGCTATTTCGGGCCCGGTAAAGTTTCCCGTTAACCGGCCCGGTAAGTTATCGGGCCCGGTATTTACGGGAGCTTTCGAGAAACAGGCCCCTGCTCCGGACTAAGTTTTAGACTCATTTTGTCCAGGTGCTTTAAGTCAGTTTTTTTTATCGGTAGTCTTGCTGATCTTGTCTGAAACCTACACAAATATCATTCTAATCTTGTTCATTTGTTTTTCTCAAACTCATTGATAATTACCTATAATTCATTAAGTCGTCGAAGAAAAGAAAAGTAACTATTGCAAATGTAGTAAGTGTTTCTTCCTTCATTTTCTTATATAACACCTGTACGTCGTGCTATTTCAGTTGCTGCGCAAAAAATTCAAAGACATTTAAAAAAGAGGGGGGTGGGGGGGGGGTTAAGTATATTAACTGATGACACGGGTCCAATGCTCCATACTATCCAGTCGTTTGTAAACCCGTGGCTTTCCTTGTGGAAACACAGTGATCAAAGGCTCCGGATGAGTAAGAATATGATCAAAAGCTGCTCTGGTGTTAGACACAAAGTCCGGAGGTTCACAGTGTGGAGATGTCGAGAGATTCTGTAATGTAAGTTAAACAAGAAGTATCGGTTAACATAACGTTTTTCAAGCCGAGTCAGAATCATTAGTTCTCTTGCGTGGCAAGAAAGAGCCTGCTCGTAAGCCACATTGGTTTGGAAAATAACAGTACAGCAAAACCTTTTTCACCTGTTATGACGGCATATAATTCATGGTAGACCACCCATATAGTCTTCCTGCAGTTTGCTTTTATTTACTGCCGTTTGCTTGCGGTTAGCATTTATTTACTGCTGTTTGCTTGCGGTTAGCATTTAAGGGGTGAAGGGGAAGGCGACTAAATGTGTCCTACCATTAAGTTCTTGGCGTTATGACTGACATCTATGTTTTCCCAAAGATAAATCAAGGGTCCCTATGACACCACGACCGTTTTGCTTTAGTGATGGAGTTAACGAAAAGAATTTCCAATAGACTTACATGTCTAAAAATAACTTAAAAGGGATTACCTTGGGTAGGCGTGGCGCGGTTTAAATCTCTTGCAAAAAGCGGCCTGTTTGCTCATTCTCAGGTCCTGCACATTGTACTTTTTTTCGGTTTGACTCATACAACGAATATCGCCATCGTAGATAACATAAACAGAAAAGGCTAGGTGGAAAATGCGGGGGCGGGGCCTCGAGATACGGGGTCCCGGGGAACGGGGTCCCGGGGTGTGGAAAACACGGGGTGTGGAAAACGCGGGGTGTGGAAAACACGGGGTCTGAGTGGAAAACACGGGGGAAACGTTTTTTCGCCAAAATATGCATTTTCGTCACTAACATGAGAAATCGAAATCTTGTTATTTTAAAATCGCAATGAAAATCACGGCGTGAAACGCATTTCTCAAGAATTTCGTGAGGAAGAAAACCATTCAAGAGCCAACGTGCCGTGCAATGGTTTTCTTTTGCATGGAGCGTCTATTTTATTTTTCGCAGTAACCTGCGTGGATTATTGTTTTACGTTTAAAAAAATATTGAAATAATTAAGATTTTTTTGCTTGGTATCTTTAACCATGAAAAGCGACAGTTGCCGTATTTGCTCGATTAAAGCCGGTTACCTGTACTTTGTGTAAGTAGGACCTCAAGAAATGGCAACAAAAATTACCATAGAATACGAAGAATAAACAAATAGAGTATTTCTGGCCCAGCCGGGCCAAATTTGAAACAAAAGCTAAAGAGGTTTAAAGGGTTATTAATCGAGAAAATACAGTAATCTTCTTCAAATGCCAGTTCCAAAATAAATTCTGGTGTTCTTTTGAATAAAACAGAAGTCTGCCCCTTACTGAAGTTGCTTACGTTAATTTCAGCGCGAATAATCTCCGCTCTTAAGAATGTGGATTTCGTTTTCGGTGTCTCCTTACACACAAGTTTACAAAAAAAAATGTTGTTCTA